GAAAATCGCACGGTTTTTGGCCGCTAGCGGCGAAAATCGCGCTATTTTTGGCCGGTAGCGGAGAAAATCGCCCTATTTTTGCCCGCCAGCTGCGAAAATCGCATGGTTTTTGGCCGCTAGCGGCGAAAATCGCGCGGTTTTTGGCCGGTAGAGCCGAAAATCGAGCTATTTTTGCCCGCCAGCTGCAAAAATCGCATAGTTTCTGGCCGCTAGTGGCGAAAATCGCGCGATTTTTGGCCGCTAGCGGCAAAATTCGCACGATTTTTGGCCGCTAGCGGCGAAATTTGCACGATTTTTGGCCGCTACCGGCGAAAATCGCGCGATTTTTGGCCGGTAGCGGCTTAAATCGAGCGATTTTTGCCCGCCAGCTGTGAAAATCGCATGGTTTTTGGCCGCTAGCGGCGAAAATCGCGCAGTTTCTGGCCGGTAGCGGCGAAAATCGCGCTATTTTTGCCCGCCAGCTGCAAAAATCGCATAGTTTCTGGCCGCTAGCGGCGAAAATCGCGCGATTTTTGGCCGCTAGCGGCGAAATTCGCATGATTTTTGGCCGCTAGCGGCGAAATTTGCATGATTTTTGGCCGCTAGCGGCGAAATTTGCACGATTTTTGGCCGCTAGCGGCGAAAATCTCCCCATTTTTGGCCGCTAGCGGCGAAAATAGCCCCTTTTATGGCCGCTAGCGGCGAAAATTGGTCGATTTTTGGCAGGTAGCGGCGAAATTCGCGCGATTTTTGCCCGCCAGCTGCTAAAATCGCATGGTTTCTGGCCGCTAGCGTCGAAAACAGCGTGGTTTTCGGCCGTTAGCGGCAAAAATCGCCTGATTTTTGGCCGCTAGCGGCGAAAATCGCACGGTTTTTGGCCGCTAGCGGCGAAAATCGCGCTATTTTTGGCCGCTAGCGGCGAAAATCGCGCTATTTTTGGCCGCTAGCGGCGAAAATCGCGATTTTTGCCTGCCAGCTGCCAAAATCACATGGTTTTTGGCAGCTAGCGGCGAAAATCGCGCGATTTTTGGCCGCTAGCGGCCAGAAACTATGCGATTTTTGCCCGCCAGCTTTGAAAATCGCACGGTTTTTGGCCGCTAGCGGCGAAAATCACGCGGTTTTTGGCCGGTGTGGCGAAAATCACGCGATTTTTGCCCGCCAGCTGCGAAAATCGCATGGTTTTTGGCCGCTAGCGGCAAAAATCGCGCGGTTTTTGGCAGGTAGCGTCGAAATTCGCGCGATTTTTGTCCGCCAGCTGCAAAAATCGCCCGATTTTTGGCCGGTAGCGGAAAAAATCGCGATTTTTGCCCGCCAGCTTTTTGGCCGCTAGCGGCAAAATTCGCACGATTTTTGGCCGCTAGCGGCGAAATTTGCACGATTTTTGGCCGCTAGCGGCGAAATTTGCACGATTTTTGGCCGCTAGCGGCTTAAATCGCGCGATTTTTGCCCGCCAGCCGTGAAAATCGCACGGTTTTTGGCCGGTGTGGCAAAAACCACGAGATTTTTGCCCGCCACCAGCGAAAATCGCATGGTTTTTGGCCGCTAGAGGCGAAAATCGCGCTATTTTTGGCCGGTAGAGGAGAAAATCGCGATTTTTGCCAGCCACCTGCGAAAATCATATGGTTTTTGGCCGCTAACGGCGAAAATCGCGCGGTTTTTGGCAGGTAGCGGCGAAATTCGCGCGATTTTTGTCCGCCAGCTGCAAAAATTGCTCGATTTTTGGCCGCTAGCGGCGAAAATCGCACGGTTTTGGCCGCTAGCGGCGAAAATCGCGCTACTTTTGGCCGGTAGCGGAGAATATCGCGATATTTGCCCGCCAGCTGCGAAAACCGCATGGTTTTTGGCCGCTAACGGCGAAAATCGCGCGGTTTTTGGCAGGTAGCGGCGAAATTCGTGTGATTTTTGTCCGCCAGCTGCAAAAATCGCCCGATTTTTGGCCGCTAGCAGCGAAAATCGCACGGTTTTTGGCCGCTAGCGGCGAAAATCGCGCTATTTTTGGCCGGTAGCGGAGAAAATCGCCCTATTTTCGCCCGCCAGCTGCGAAAATCGCATGGTTTTTGGCCGCTAGCGGCGAAAATCGCGCGGTTTTTGGCCGGTAGAGCCGAAAATCGAGCTATTTTTGCCCGCCAGCTGCAAAAATCGCATAGTTTCTGGCCGCTAGTGGCGAAAATCGCGCGATTTTTGGCCGCTAGCGGCAAAATTCGCACGATTTTTGGCCGCTAGCGGCGAAATTCGCACGATTTTTGGCCGCTACCGGCGAAAATCGCGCGATTTTTGGCCGGTAGCGGCTTAAATCGAGCGATTTTTGCCCGCCAGCTGTGAAATTCGCATGGTTTTTGGCCGCTAGCGGCGAAAATCGCGCAGTTTCTGGCCGGTAGCGGCGAAAATCGCGCTATTTTTGCCCGCCAGCTGCAAAAATCGCATAGTTTCTGGCCGCTAGCGGCGAAAATCGCGCGATTTTTGGCCGCTAGCGGCGAAATTCGCATGATTTTTGGCCGCTAGCGGCGAAATTTGCACGATTTTTGGCCGTTAGCGGCGAAAATCGCCCCATTTTTGGCCGCTAGCGGCGAAAATAGCCCCTTTTTTGGCCGCTAGCGGCGAAAATCGGTCGATGTTTGGCAGGTAGCGGCGAAATTCGCGCGATTTTTGCCCGCCAGCTGCAAAAATCGCATGGTTTCTGGCCGCTAGCGTCGAAAATAGCGCGGTTTTCGGCCGTTAGCGGCAAAAATAGCCCGATTTTTGGCCGCTAGCGGCGAAAATCGCACGGTTTTTGGCCGCTAGCGGCGAAAATCGCGCAACTTCTGGCCGGTAGTGGCGAAAATCGCGATTTTTGCCAGCCAGCTGCGAAAATCGCATAGTTTCTGGCCGCTAGCGGCGAAAATCGCACGGTTTTTGGCCGCTAGCGGCGAAAATCGGGCGATTTTTGCAGCTGGCGGACAAAAATCGCACGAATTTCGCCGCTACCTGCCAAAAACCGCGCGATTTTCGCCGTTAGCGGCCAAAAACCATGCGGTTTTCGCAGCTGGCGGGCAAATATCGCGATATTCTCCGCTACCGGCCAAAATCGGGCGATTTTTGCAGCTGGCGGACAAAAATCGCCCGATTTTTGGCCGGTAGCGGAAAAAATCGCGATTTTTGCCCGCCAGCTTTTTGGCCGCTAGCGGCAAAATTCGCACGATTTTTGGCCGCTAGCGGCGAAATTTGCACGATTTTTGGCCGGTAGCGGCTTAAATCGCGCGATTTTTGCCCGCCAGCTGTGAAAATCGCACGGTTTTTGGCCGGTGTGGCAAAAACCACGAGATTTTTGCCCGCCACCAGCGAAAATCGCATGGTTTTTGGCCGCTAGAGGCGAAAATCGCTCGGTTTTTGGCCGGTGGCGGCGAAAATCGCGCTATTTTTGGCCGGTAGCGGAGAAAATCGCGATTTTGCCAGCCAGCTGCGAAAATCATATGGTTTTTGGCCGCTAACGGCGAAAATCGCGCGGTTTTTGGCCGGGAGCGGCGAAGATCGCTCGATTTTTGGCCGCGAGCTGCAGAAATTGCGGGTTTTTTGGCCGCTAGCGGCGAAAATCGCACGGTTTTTGGCCGCTAGCGGCGAAAATCGCGCTATTTTTGGCCGGTAGCGGAGAAAATCGCCCTATTTTTGCCCGCCAGCTGCGAAAATCGCATGGTTTTTGGCCGCTAGCGGCGAAAATCGCGCGGTTTTGGCCGGTAGAGCCGAAAATCGAGCTATTTTTGCCCGCCAGCTGCAAAAATCGCATAGTTTCTGGCCGCTAGTGGCGAAAATCGCGCGATTTTTGGCCGCTAGCGGCAAAATTCGCACGATTTTTGGCCGCTAGCGGCGAAATTTGCACGATTTTTGGCCGCTACCGGCGAAAATCGCGCGATTTTTGGCCGGTAGCGGCTTAAATCGAGCGATTTTTGCCCGCCAGCTGTGAAAATCGCATGGTTTTTGGCCGCTAGCGGCGAAAATCGCGCAGTTTCTGACCGGTAGCGGCGAAAATCGCGCTATTTTTGCCCGCCAGCTGCAAAAATCGCATAGTTTCTGGCCGCTAGGGGCGAAAATCGCGCGATTTTTGGCCGCTAGCGGCGAAATTCGCATGATTTTTGGCCGCTAGCGGCGAAATTTGCACGATTTTTGGCCGTTAGCGGCGAAAATCTCCCCATTTTTGGCCGCTAGCGGCGAAAATAGCCCCTTTTTTGGCCGCTAGCGGCGAAAATCGGTCGATGTTTGGCAGGTAGCGGCGAAATTCGCGCGATTTTTGCCCGCCAGCTGCTAAAATCGCATGGTTTCTGGCCGCTAGCGTCGAAAACAGCGTGGTTTTCGGCCGTTAGCGGCAAAAATAGCCCGATTTTTGGCCGCTAGCGGCGAAAATCGCATGGTTTTTGGCCGCTAGCGGCGAAAATCGCACGGTTTTTGGCCGCTAGCGGCGAAAATCGCGCAACTTCTGGCCGGTAGTGGCGAAAATCGCGATTTTTGCCAGCCAGCTGCGAAAATCGCACGGTTTTTGGCCGCTAGCGGCGAAAATCGCGCTACTTTTGGCCGGTAGTGGCGAAAATCGCGATTTATGCCAGCCAGCTGCGAAAATCGCATGGTTTTTGGCCGGTAGCGGCGAAAATCGCGCTATTTTTGCCCGCCAGCTGCAAAAATCGCCTAACCTAACTACTGGATGGATAGTTTGCCACCACATTCACTAGTTTTCAGTAAACCTTTTAAGTATCCATTTTGCTCCTCTTCTGGGGGTTTGCTTCTCCAGCAAGAGTATACAAAGATTCCCCAACTCCTTACACCTCCAGTAAGCTATTAAACACTCATAGAGCAGATGTGACTAACGTGTGGAGCAATCTAGGTGGGAACAGCTCCCCTATCTACAGGGTGCCACCATTTGGCCACTTCAGAAAATACAACCTACTGGAAATTGCTTTATTGGTATTATTCATGTTTCATTCCAGACTGAAAAATTACATCTAAATCCAAATTTGTTTTTATTCTGTAATAAAAATGGTCCATTAATTGGGATGTACAGATTATCAATTTATTAGTCATCTACATAAAAAAAAAAATCAATGTCACATTAAACCTTAGTACACAGAATGCAATCACCCCTATAGATGTACATATCACTTGTAAGAATATATAAGCCAAATATCCATTCATGTAGAGAGCCTAAAGACTACCAGAGTTGGGAAGATCATACTTACAATAATATGTAAGGCTATCATTCTTAAATATTGGGCAAAAATAATAGGATCACTCATACATGCAACAGAAAAAAGTTAAGGTGTAGTACATCGTCCCTCTCGGATACAACATGGAATAATACATTAGCTGTACACTATATAAACTTATCCATAAATACTGATGCAGCATAAGAGATATTGATGGCTGAACTTGCCATGTTGAAATAATTGAAACAAATACATACTGTACTGTACATCTATTCTGATAACAACCAGTCATATAAATAAGTTATAACTGCTATTCTGGTAACAACAACAAAATTCATACATTACATTCTTGGCCGACTTAACATGCACTCTAGCATTTTATGTTTCTCTAAAGTGTACAGAATGTCACGAACAAGATGCAGTAAGAAGGAATGTAGCTCGTTACCCAGTGTTATACAATTTGTGTAATTTATTAAATACTATATTTTTTTTATGTCTAAGCTTTTAGTGCTACTGGTATACCACAAACAAATATTAATCTACTGTTTTACGAAATGGCTGAAGTGGCATAGATTTTGCACTCTACCATTGACACCTTCACAAAATTGTTTAACATTTTACAATTGCTTTACCAGCTTATTTTGGTTTGCATTGATACAATTTAAAATCTTGTATTTTATGCCACTTTTATTTTTGAGTGAAACACATTTAAATGATTTTGTAGGCATTTTTTCAAGAACTTGCTTCTATTACTTTATATAGTTGTCAAATAGAAAAAAGTAATCTAATGCCTCAGGTTTACAATTAAATATATTAAAATTACATCTGATAAATGGAGACCGATTCATAACATAGCTAAAAATTGTACACCCAAAATTTATGCGACATACCAATACGTTCGTCACACCCTTTATTTTCAGACGAGTTGGTGGGGTGTCTAACTATATCACCAAAGTATTTGCACAATTAGTCACAGAAACATACAATGTCACATGGAACGGTATAAAGCAAAATAAGCAAACCAATTATTTCATACTATAACTAACATTTTCAGTTATGTAGTCACCGACCCAAAATCTGCCAACTTTCTAAACAGATGTGATATTCGGTTTGTTTGGCGACATGCCTCCACCACCTCTAGTTGTGAGAGGCTATGCTTCACTGCCCATTTCCCTGGGAGTCACTGTGGCACTCAAAACAGAATACATTTTTTGATAACCGTTTCTCTTAGCAGCAAAAGGAAACATTTTATGACAAATTAAAAAGACATTAACAATTAAAGAGGCATTAAGACATTAAGAGACATTAAGAATACTAATAGAATAGTACAGTGATGTCCCTATAAAGTTTGTGCATAGCTACTTTCTAGTTTTGTGTATTTTGAAGGCTATACTTAGGCTATATGGCTATACGATTTTGCTTATTACGCTAACATAAAATGTGATAAGGCAATCCTGCACAGAAATAGAGTAAAGAATGTTGATGATGAACAAGTGGTACAAGAAGAGGTGGTATGCAAGGGAACAAAAAATGCTAAGATTTCTGCTCATGGAGAAAGCAAAGTACTTTCATATACAAGTGAACATTACTTAATGTATAGTGATTAGTGACCAAGGCACTAAAGAAAGTTGCCATAGTATTACATACACAATCCTTTCCCTATTTCCAGCCTTCATGAGGTGGGGAGGCATCAACCCAGAGAAGAAAAAGTAAGTCATTTATAGTCAAGTGTTATAGATACTAAACATAAAAAAACATTAAAAATACCCTCACCCATTCATCACATCATTAACAATACAACACAGTGTCACATATAAACAATCACACCTGCCCTTCAGCAGGTGTGGCAGGAGTGGCTAAGCTGAGAGGCTAAGGAAGTTTAGCCTCTCTGCTTAACTCACTGTAGAAGCTTTAAAGCCCACCAAAACAACCAATTTGTCCAAACCCCTAGACATTATTCTACCTTCTAATGTGGACCAATACTTCGATCGGTACCTAAATGGTATTTGTATACAAAGTACACAATGTTTACACATTCTGTAACAGTGTAGTATTATCGGTCAGGGCAAACTTGTTTTTACTTAGGTAGACGGCAAGAGATATCACTCCCACATAATGAGATCCTGACATATTTACCCATTTATCCTGGACTACATGTCTAAATCTAATTGAGTCACAAATGTGAAATTGGCAACTGTGAAATGTTTTTTTTTCTTATGTTTTCTATGAGATTTGTACAAACTCCTGGGTACAACGAGACTTCATCCATAAATGTAAGATTATAACACTAAGAACAAGTTCTGCTAAAATAACTGAAAACTATTTACAGATTCGGTACAAAAAATATTACTCTATATAAAAAAAAATACAAATAAAACGAGAAGAGAAAAAACAGTGGATGTGAAAAAGTATTCAAGCAAAACGGTGCAAAACTCTGAATACTAATAGAATTTGAGAAACGGTAATTAATTATATGATCTACAAATATTAACTGTCATTTTAAATTATTTAAATGAAATGCCATTCATGTGGTATCTAATTAAATAAATGGGTAAAATCATTTGTAGACTATTTACAATAAAAAAAATTGTACTCAGTAGCAACACTGAAATAAGTGACGAGGATAATTCATAACATGAAATTAATCAATAGAACCAAATGAACTCTAACTTAAAATTTAATCCATTTAAATTTCCAGCAGCAGTAAGCATGCTACAAGTTGTGATAAATAAGATGGAAATGTATATTATACAAGTTATCAAATCTACAAATACAATCCATTTTATAACACTAACATACCCAATGTTGCAGGACTATTTCCTAAAGGGTGATACATCATCATATTCCAGTGTAGTGTAATAGGCAGGCTAGTGAAGCCCCCTTTCCATGGTTCATCGCATGATGCAGGCCTGGCATACCATGAATTTGTTCCATGCAGTTCAACACATTAATTTCTAGCTTTGATCAACTGCTGTGCAATGCCTCAGAAAAGCAGTGTGAAAATTCTCCAACGAGTGGGAACGTTAAGAAACAAATTCTTGGTCCATCATGTCCTCTTTGTGGAATGTGCCATTTACCACAGAAACAGCTGTACTCTCCTGCACACAAACTGAGCCAATGGAAAGATGAAATATGATCTAAAGGTCCAAACCCAAAAGGTGTTTGCTTTTGCAACCCACCTTCAAATAATACAAGTACATTTAGTCTTATTTTCTCACCTACCTCCATACATATATTTCAACTAGGACAAAATATATAATATACTGTATAGCTATAATACTGAATGCCTCACAATTAATAAACTATCTTATTGACGCTCCCATAGCAGGTAAAAAGAAAACCGTCACATTGCACATTCGGACCCTCCAGCTTATCTAGTTTATACTGAATGAACTTAACTAATATTGCTTCCTAGTTACCAACCTATTTTATTCTTTTTTGCTAGATGTCTGAGGCTTATTATCTACCGTATCCTTCTTGGTAGGCGTGGAGGACGAGGACAAAGGAGACTCGGACAAATTGGAAGAAGAGTTTGGGGAGGAGGAAGGTGGTGGTGGGGTGTGCCGTGCCGGAGACATGCTGGGCTTGTCAGTCTGACTGACTAGAAGATGAGGTGGCATTGGTAGCTCCTCGTCTGCAGGAAGGATCAAAATTAGCTGGGAAAGAGTGTTATGGCAAAAAATTCAATTAAGGGCTTAAAAATAGTTGTGGCTTGATCACAAAAAGTAAATCGAGATAGAAAGTCCAAGGCCAGCACAGGCCAGGGAGTGTTATGAGCACTTTCTTGATACAGTATATATAGAGGTACATAATTAGTACAAAAAGATGATACGGCTGACAAAGAATTACAGTAATATCAAATCCAGCAATAATATAAAATATTTGAATGAATTATACAAATAGCTGTATTCCTACCTTAAAATTAAACACACAGTACTAATGCAGGCGATGAGTCACAATAACGTGGCTAAATTATGTTGACCAGACCACACACTAGAAGGTGAAGGGACGACGACAACATTCTCAATCGACTTGAGAATGGTCCAGGACGGACCGAAACGTCGTCGTCCCTTCACCTTCTAGTGTGTGGTCTGGTCAACACAGTACTAAGTAGCAATGATGACTACTAGTTTACTAGACTTAAATTTACAAGAAAAGCTTTTTTTTTTCTTTAACACAGGTAGGTACAGGAACAGATGACTTGTGTTGGCAGGCTGAGAGCTTTCCCTTCCCATAGCTCTTGTTAAGCCTAGGCAACTACTGTAGTTTTCTCTGGAAAACTGCTAAGGGGTACCTGGTTGTTTACCTGCCAATCAGTTAACAACTAGGGACTCAATTACTGCTGGGTGAACAGGAGCGACCAGTGAAGGATTGGCGCCCAGACAATCCCTCTTAACCAAGACTCAAACCCAGACCAAATTGCTCACAAGGCACGGTGCGTGTGTAGTCACTACACATCAGAAATATTACAGGAACAACTGTGGACATCTTCAAGAGGAAACTAGATTGTTTCCTTCAAGGAGTGCCGGACCAATCGGGCTGTGGTGGGTATGTGGGCCTGCGGGCCGCTCCAAGCAACAGCCTGGTGGACCAAACTCTCACAAGTCAAGTCTGGCCCTGGGCCGGGCTTGGAGAGTAGAAGAACTCCCAGAACCCCATCAACCAGCTATCAACCAGGTATCAACCACCAGAGACTGCCTGCGAAGTCTAGAGGCCTACTGCGGAAACAGAACCTCGCCACAAACCACCCGACTCAATGACTAAAGTGCAGCAGTAGCAGCCGCCACAAGCACTGGAAATCTCCACCTCTGGGAATGAGAGGAAAAAGAATGACAAGATTGATTCATATTTTAGAATCCATATTCAAGGGAATGTGGATGGGAATCCACACAGGCAAATTTTGTCCACTGTTTACAGGGATTCATTATAGGTAGGTTCAGATATTAGAGAGAGTACTGTATATATATATATAACATTTATATATAAATGAATAATACTTTTAAAATCAAGTGTCGATCAATTTCAAATAATCATATTGTAGTACAGGAAATTTTTAATCTTGTTCATCAATTACCAAATCTGCCACCAAAGGGCACACAGGCACACACACACATTTTAAAGCCCAAAAACTACACATTAAAGTGTATTAGGATCAATTCAAAACAATGACTCCCAATCTTACAATCAATAATGTAAGTTCCATAAGCTACCACAAGAGTGGAAGAAAAACCCAAATCAATGCACCAAAGCAAGACTTCTCAGCAAATTTGTAATTATTGTAAGCAATTCCGTAAGAGTATTGTTGAAAGACAAATATAACACCAAAAGCCCTATTCCCTCCAAGAAACTGATGCCATTGAGGCAACCAATATTCAAATTACTATAGTACATTATATCCAATTACTTTTACTCCCATTATTAAGTATAAACATGCAAGGAAAATAAAATCTAGGTACAGTACACCTAAAATATAACATAATTTTTACACTACATAAAAAGTAGGCACAGTAATGACCCCATTACGTTCAAGAATGTGCATGGAATCTTGAGGTTATCTTGAGATGATTTCGGGACTTTTTTAAGTGTCCCCGCGGCCCGGTCCTCTACCAGGCCTCCACCCCCAGGAAGCAGCCCGTGACAGCTGACTAACACCCAGGTACCTAATTTACTGCTAGGTAACAGGGGCATAGGGTGAAAGAAACACTCTCGCCTCTCGCCGGCGGCTGGGATCGAACCTAGGACCACAGGATCACAAGTCCCGCGTGCTGTTCGCTAGGCCGACAGGCTCCCCAAAAGCATTTACATGTAAAATATTTATATGTAAAATGTAAGACAAATTTTTGAAAGCCTATTATTTAGACTTTGGGCAGAAGTGTCAATTCTGCCAACTCACCAAAGAGGCGAAAGATGTCATGATTATTGTGAGTTTGTTGTTTTGCATTAATTTACATTGTGTGGAATTATTAATTTTCACAGAATTGACAAAATGAGTGATCCAATACTGTATATAGGCCTGCAATGTACTATGTACATTGCCCATAAACTTGTTCCTGGCACAGCTCAAAGGAAGTATCTTGCAACCTACTTCATTGCTGCTATTCTATCAGGTAATGTCATCAAGAAATAGATTCAAACACCGGCAGGAAACACCAAACTGTGAATTTAAGATAATTGTATGGCTTATGGTACACATTGAAAACCACATCCACATAGAGATGTATTATTGATATATTTATATAATTTATATAAAACCGGGTGATAACTAGAATCAACATGTGATTATAACTGCATTATTCTAGGGATCAACTTGTGATGACATCTGCACTCAGAGTTAAGAAGTATTTTTTTTTCTCCTGTTGTGTTTTTCTCCCTTTTGGTCACATTCCTACCCTTCAGGAATGTGTCCTATAAGCTGCTGCGAGCTGCTGCTGCATGTGCTAATCGTGGTCACACCACACCTCTCATCAATACTGCTAATCATGGTCCCTCACACCCAGAGAGATGCCCACGATTTTTTCCCAAAGATGGCTTTTTGTTTACTGGAGGCCTGAGAAAGCAAAGAGCTCCGTGTATGCGTGGGACTTTTAAATCTTACATGGTACTTTAAATCGTCCCTCATCAACTCATGCAGTGAGGTCAGAAATGGTGCCATTTTTCCTGATTGACTCGTGTATCTGAAGAATTAAAGGAAACACTACTCAACCTTTTCCCCACACTCTATTGGTAAAGTTTACTAAGTGCAATCTAAAGTTCAACCTGTCCCTTTATGGATACCTACCAGCAGAAACTGACTGTAAAGAGATTTCACCATCACCAATTCTACTCATGTCCAAGCCTCTGAACACGAGTGATCTGTTTGTGATTTTTCCGACACTTCTGTTTTCTAATCGGTTATTAATAATAATTTTATAAATGTCAAAAACAGTCCACAGAATAGTGACAACTTTTAGGTCACCAATATGACATCTTCAGCCATGTTCACCTTTTTAAAAGCACCCCATAGGTACGTATGTGGCTATGCAGTGATAAAAGTAGCACTGTTCGTCTTAAGGGGGAATGACACGGGTAGTTTGAAAAGCAGTTCTAGATATAAAAATGGAAGCTTGCGAGGCCAATCGTAAGACAGGATTTCACTTGTTTCAGCAAAAGCGTTGCTGAAACTACGAGGGGGGGCCTCGTAGCCTGGTGGATAGCGCGCAGGACTCGTAATTCTGTGGCGCGGGTTCGATTCCCGCACGAGGCAGAAACAAATGGGCAAAGTTTCTTTCACCCTGAATGCCCGTTACCTAGCAGTAAATAGGTACCTGGGAGTTAGTCAGCTGTCACGGGCTGCTTCCTGGGGGTGGAGGCCTGGTCGAGGACCGGGCCGCGGGGACACTAAAGCCCCAAAATCATTTCAAGATAACTTCAAGATAGCCGATGAAATTTGAGCACATGTCAGCAGTCAAATGCATTTTAGAGAACAGTAGAGTTCTCTGAACAAAATTCCAGGAGTAAGAAGCCCATATGCTACCTTCCCTTCATAAAAAGATTACGAGAAATAGAATAAGGATAGGTTAAGCATAAGAACTCAACAATCTACCAATTTTGCACGGATTTGTGAAACAAACAAACCGAATCAATAATTAAAATTTTCAAAATATTTCACTCATTTAACACTGATGATGGATTTTGAACAAATAAGACATTGGTTAAAAACTCAAACACATATGTGTCACTCTTCTCAAAACAACTGGGAGATACTGAATAGAAAATTTGTTTGTAACATGCTTTTCCATTTCAATCTGTGAAAAAGTATGATACCACCATCAACAAGGATATACTACAGTAATATTTTTAAATAGAAAGTAACTAAAACAAGTCTTGAATACCAGACGATTCTGGAGAATCGGTGGGCGACATGCGGCAGCCCCGTGCGAGATACTGTTCCAACTTGCCACAAGCAGCCAGGATTAACCCAAGGTATGGTGGTGAAGGCTTCAGGGGTCTGAAAAATAAGAAGGATGATGTTAATAAAAACAAAGTCTTGCCATTTAGACAATGGTATGTCTTGAGGTTATCTTGAGATGATTTCGGGGCTTTTAGTGTCCCCGCGGCCCGGTCCACGACCAGGCCTCCACCCCCAGGAAGCAGCCCGTGACAACTGACCTGAACACCCAGGTACCTATTTTACTGCTAGGTAACAGGGGCATAGGGTGAAAGAAACTCGGCCCATTGTTTCTCACCGGCGCCTGGGATCGAACCCAGGACCACAGGATCACAAATCCAGCGTGCTGTCCGCTCGGCCGACCGGTATCCGGTATGCAAGGGACAATATTACGGGTCCTGTACGTACAGTGTGCTAGGTTCTTGACTCACAATTGATGATCCTGAATTTAATCCCAACACAAGGCAGAGATGCTTTGGCATGTTTTCTTTCAAATGATGCTTTTGTTCCCCTAGCAGTCAATAGGTACCCGGTTGTTTGGCAACTGTAGTGGGTTGCATCCTGGGGATGGTCAGTAGTTGGCTTTGGAGGGACCTCAATATAGGCTTCCTATTCTCTACAGAATTATTAAATGTTTGGATCAATTACAACACAAACACATTTCTGGGCTACCCTACAGCACTATACATCAGTACTATTATGATGTATGAAGAAACACTGGAGAGATGCCCATGGTGCAATATGTAATGGGAGTGTAATGAATACATGGAGCATAATCAGAATGCAACATATAATGAGCACACGATGATGGTGGATGACATCAAATCATTTAGAATTTTGACTACTTGCAAGAGGCTCTAAACCTGCAGTCTAAAACAGTCTGTATAGCCATTTGCAGAACAAGTTGGATGAAATTGTTGGTGTATAATTGATAGTGCAGAAATAAAGTAACTGGAGCAGCAAGCTCTATCAGTTGTGTTATAGATCTTGGGCGAGGCAACCAAGTGATTGTCCGGTCATTGTTCACTGAATAACATTATGACCAGTTGGAGCACATGACATTTTGGAAGTACCTCACACCTTTCCCTCTGTATGAGCAATTTATTAGTCTTCCTAAATCACTTACCGTGATGAGTAACTGTACTCGACTTTCAAATTACTAATTTCAATCCTCATTTTCTCATTAATTCTCTTTTTCCAGAACAAATACCCCCAAAAAATTTAATATACATAATACAAAATCGCAGGCAAAAAGGTGGTTACTCACCGGGTAAGGTATTCTGGATGGTACTGACAGGCCACATAATACGGGTGGTCATCAAGTTCCATGACCTCCATCCGTTCCCCCTCCACATCCTGACCAACAAATTTCATTCCTGCAGACTCGAAGTCGCTAATCATCTTGGGATTTACCTCATACCTAAATAAGAAATCCAGTATATTAATATCTGCGGAGGCATGCATGGCAACGCATGCAAAAATGTGTCCTCTGTGAAAGCCTCACAATCTGGAAATGACGCAAAGTAGACTGAAAACTGCCGATTCAATGCAGAGGCAAACAGATCTACCTGCAAACACCCAAACAGCTTTCAACTCCAAAAGAAGCAGGTCTCATTCACACTTTGGAGATCAGACAAACACAATAGGCCAACACATGTCATCTAGGATATATGAACTGTATTGAAGTGGAATGCACTGAGGATTAAAAATGAAAAAACCACAACCAAAGCTATTCACAGAGTCCACCGTCTGTCACATTCCAGTTTGAGCTGGAGGCTACCCGTGTGCCTGTGCCCATGTGCCCAGGCACAGTACCCGTGTGCCCAGTAATGCAAGTTCCCAGATCCCTGTTTAGGTTCTGCATTTGTCTTCCCTCCATAAATCTCAGCAGTCTTGCCTTCTAGACTCTTGACTCTGGTTTGCTAAAATGCTTACTTAAGAACTAGGACATGGTTTCAAAAATAAACTAATACATTTGAATTTAGCTCAAGCCACTTTCTTGGTCTGTAATGAGGTCACAGGCTCCTGGGAGGCAGGCAATTATTATTCCCATTTCAGAAGTGGGCACCTGAACAATCTTTACTGTTGAGGTAGTCAGGTGTTAATCCATGTTATACTAGCTATGCAACAAAGTGAAAAGTTTATGAATGGCTCCAAGACTAAACAGCATTAGTACTCCCAAACCAACTTTTGTATTGAATAACAACCCATGGTCCCTTCGTTAAAAAGAGCACCCTATTTGTTTGATGACGAGAAAAACCATTTAGCAAACTAGGCTTTTTCCCTCCACCAAATTTTATAACTATATATACTGTACATCGAAAAATTATAAAAGACATGCAAAAGGTGAACATACCTGTGTCGGTGACGTTCCTCAACATAATCTACATTGCCATACAGTTGCCGAAGCTTGGATTCATGGGTTTTGAATAGGGTCTGTCTCTTCCCTAATCGCATGGTACCGCCAAGTTGCCCAGGATTGTGTTCGGGCATCTCAATAATCACATGCCGATTACCTTCTGGGAATATCTCCTGACTGTTGGCATCTGTCCACCCCAACACATTCCTGTATGAATTTAGTTTAATTCTTACATAATAAAATAGCAAAATTTAAACTACACTATTTTTCATGTGTAACCTACACTACAATGTGTGTTCAAATACACATTATCTGGTACTATGCTTCGTGAAGTTTCATTTATTTGCTATATCACGCTGCAAAAATATATTCAAGTGATGCACATCTATGCCAAACTGTGCTGTACAGAAACTGCTTTTTGTGCTGTACAGAAATTTGTATTTAGGGTTGCATAAACAAAAATAAACATTGCCTACCAGTAATATCTAACAAGCCAGATTGTTACCTTGCAAACTCAATAACAGCAGCCTGCAGACCAAGACACACTCCAAGCACAGGCTTCTTTTTTGTCCTTGCCCATTTACAGACTGCTACCATTCCCTCGACTCCTCGCTGGCCAAAGCCTCCAGGGACAATAATCCCACTGGAAGAAAAATGAATTTCATTATTACAATACAACTCTATAAACACACACACACACATTTCTATATTAATTTTACAGAGGCATGTTAATCTCAACCAGAATCATAACTTTAGTATCAAAATATATTAAAATCTTATAACAGAAAACCATATGCCTGTAATTTTTGTGGTGTACAGAAGAATTAAATCTTTAACCCTTACAGTGAATACTTCATAAATATGAAAATATCTAATGTTGTCTACACTGAAGTGGGAAGAATGTATGGAGGTTTTTAAAGCCCTCTCTCCAGTCCCTCCCCCTCCTCCTATCATGAAGGTGATGTGAAGCCAATTGCACTGCATAATGGGCAACAAAGTTCCTGTACTATCATTCACAAGATGAATTGTTCAATCCTGTTATTTTCATACCAATGTCATTTAAATTATTTACATTTCTCTGAATACACGAGAAACTAAATTACTGTCATTTCCCAAAGAGCTTTTTGAACAATTTCCCTTACTGGCATTTGCAGACATTCTGCCAAGCTTCATAATACTTGACAGCGCGATCATCCTTCGCCGACTCTTCCAAATCCTCTGCTTCCATGCACTTCAAGTCCAGTTTTCGATTGCATGCCAGGGCAGCATGTTGCAAGGCTTTGATTACTGATGCATACGAGTCTTCAAGTTGAGTGTACTTGCCAACAAGTGCAATGGTGACAGTGTTGCGGAGGTGATCTTGCCTATGGAAATTAGTATATTTATAACAATAAACGGTGAAATACAATATATATATTTATTTTGAACATACATATACTGTATATATATTTTACAGAAATTACCATTCCACAGAATACTCTGAAAACCTTCCCTCAAACACTTACTTGGTAGACAAATCCCGCCATTTTTTCATGAAATTCCTTGGTCGATAACTGTCAAGGTTTAAGCTTAGATGATCACTTAAAAGATGCGACACACGTTGTTCCTCAAGCATTAGTGGAACCTCATAGATGCTCTGTGCATCATGCAGACAAATAACCTGTGAGAACAAGTGAAACTTGTATCAATAAGCATACATTATTATAATCTTTAAAATTAGGGCAAGGTTGCCAGACCTCTGCTACTTAGCCTAATTTTGATTTTTTTGTAATTGGACTGAAAATAAAAGCATTGAGTAATGAAATGCCCATTTCTGGGGGATCCTATCAGTGGCTTGCCTGAGTGTATGTACTGGTACCACAGGGCCAATACAATCACACCAGGCATGTATGACTACTTTATGGTCTACTGGGAGCAGGCAATAGAATCTTGACCCCCTTAGAAGAGGCAGGGGAAAAGTGATACTCACGAAACTCCATACACAGAGAGAGCCATCATAATAATAAAATAAGAGGTTCACAAACTTAAATCACTAAATTGTTTAGTACAATAAAAAGAAATATCCAAAATACCAAAAATATCATCTCGCTACTTTGCCCTCCCACTTTTAGTCAACCTAGGATCCGGCGAGGCCCACACCATCACTCTTGAGGCTAAGCAACTGAAACACATGGGTAAGTGGGGGAGTAGAGCTAAAAAATAAAAAATACTGTAAAGGAATCACTTAGGGGCACCCAAAAAGAAGCATTTCACTATTCTAAATACACCAATTCTGGACGTGTTTCCCCCCTCATTGGCTCACAAGAGCTCCCAGCGTATATAGCATGCAGCCCGAAAGGAGTTACGTGTACTGTACTGTATTAATAAGAGGCATTAATAAGGTGTTTTAGGCAGATTAATAATGTGTTAATTATATCGACACAATCAAGCAGGTTAAGCAGGTATAAAACACAAAACAATGGATCCAAATTGAACAGGTTTAGATTCAGAAACAGCCCAAGTACTAATTTCAGAAATAGGCTTGACGATTTATGGAACAGATTACCGAGTAGCATAACAGACATGGAAACACTGGATCATATAGGTTGAACATACCGGTGTATGCACAAATGAGTTTGGTTGGGTATAAATTTAAATAGGAGCTTTCTTGCATGGACAAATAGGCCCTTTACAGGTTTTATCTATTTATATCTTCAAATTAAAACAAAATAAATTATGTTTATATTTATTTTAACAGACAGGCATTTTCATGAATGTCTAAGTGCTGGACAGGGTATAGGCTATGGAACAAGGGCAAGATATCCAACTGCTAGCACGCTTAGTATGCCAAAATCCTTGGGTCTGGAACATGCCTAGAGTTTTGTTAACGAAAGCTACCTGCACAGCAAAACACCAAAATGGCCAAATCAGAAAGCCCACCCCTGCCTTAAACAGGGTGGGCTTTCTGATTTCCAGTATTTCTGGTAGGCAGTCCTTCCTGTCTAAAAGGTAGATGCCTCTGTCATCACATACTCCCAAAGCTGGGAATTCCACTACAATGGGAATAGAATCACCTGTAACCTCATAACTTCTCTCAAAGCCACAGGAAGGGTGTCCACCATCCTCTCCATCGAGTGAAGAGGTTATCTTGAGATGATTTCGGGGCTTTTTTTAGTGTCCCCGCGGCCCGGTCCTCGACCAGGCCTCCACCCCCAGGAAGCAGCCCGTGACAGCTGACTAACACCCAGGTACCTATTTTACTGCTAGGTAACAGGGGCATAGGGTGAAAGAAACTCTGCCTATTGTTTCTTGCCGGCGCCTGGGATCGAACCCAGGACCACAGGATCACAAGTCCAGCGTGCTGTCCGCTCAGCCGACCGGCTCGAAGAGAGGGGGCAGAAGAAAATTATCCAAGAGGACATGTAACCCGCACTTCAGAAAACCTATGGGGTTAAATGAAAATGGAAATATTGAAATGGTCTCTGTGGTGGTTCAGAGTTGAGATTTGCCATCGTCTCCTTTCCCTAACTGACAAAACCATTGAAAATGTTTTCCTATTTGGCATATTAACAGTACAGTCTGTATAATAAATAGGTAAATACACCATGGTCTAAGTGATTATCAGCCATGCTTGTTAAACTGAGCCTTTCCAGCAGACACCTATATGAAGTTACTAAAATAAGAGTACTATAGCACATTTGGTTCTATACAAAAATGTATGCATATACTGTATGAAGTCGCTTATCCAAAGCCCGCTAATCTGAATATTTGAGTTATCCAGCGAAAATCACGGCTGGATATTTTTCTGGCAAGACTTCGCTATATCCAGATAGTAATTTGGATAACCGGAGGTTTAGCTAGATAATGCAGACTGGTATAGGTTCTAAATCACGTCCAGATAACTTTCTGCCGAACTTCCCCAGATCCATAATGATATTCGGAAAACCAGAGATTTTGCATTGGGCCATACTGTATTAATCCCATACAGCAGTGGCTTGGGGCACAGGGTATGGGAGGTGGTTGGTTTCAGGGTAGGGGGTGTCGGAGGAGTTGGGACTGTCTCGGGGATGCAGGGAGGGCATGCTATGATGCAGGGCATACTATGATCTGTATTGTAAAAAATAGCCTAGAATTATGTTAAAACAATTCATCACCATAAAAACTAGATAAATATTACATTATAACAAATACAAATTTCTTAAAAATTATGTGTACAGGATGAAGACTGTAGTTTCCTGCTGAAATTGGGGATTTTTTCCCCGCTGGGGAAAGTAAAACCTGCCTTTTGACCTCCCTGCTAAAAGTGAACCCGTCCAGGCCTGATCAAGCTACACAGGCCATGTGCTCTCAACCCTCACATTACACCACAGTGCCGCACCATTTAAGTGAAATCTTTTCTTAAATAACTTTGTTTCCATAGTAACTTTGATCCTTTTTGGCCAAAATTATGTCTGGTGGTTGCAGCAATCATTCTGGAATTGTTAATATTAAAAGGTTGTGCTAACATCACAGACAACCAAACACAGTTTACTCATGTCTTCTATTGACACGCTAATTAATTTGTCATCCAACTGTATTAATCCAGAAATTGGAAACGGGCATCAGTACGAGGCAAACCAAAGAGCCAATCATAAGAAGCCAGTGAACACAGGAGAGAAGCAAAACTCTCTTTTTGTTTTGTAAAAACAGAAGCCAAGGCCCTTCAACCACTGAAGCCTCACCAGAAAGACAAGAGCCTTCAACCAATGAAGCTTCAACAGCTGGTAGTCAAAACTGACCTTGCCAAGCTCATGTACTGTCCAGTAACTTTGGTGTTGTGTTAAGTTAGGTAATGTAAATTTTCCAGAATTATTGATTTGAAGATACAGCATCGATCAAGAAGACAAACTACAACAAGCTGAAATTTCTATTTTAAATTACAGTACTGGTATATTTTTTAATTATAACGTGTGTGGAAATTCAAATCATGTAGTACAGAAAATTGCAAATATATTCACTTTTGGATTTCCCCCAATAATTTTGGTTATCCGAATGTATGGCTTATCCAGCAGGGGGTCCTTACCCATATAGTTTGGATAAGCGAGCTCAGTCAGTATGTACTTGACACTTTTGCTGTAGCGCCTAGGTTTGAACTCTGTTCTTTTCTCAGGCAAAATGAGAATCTAACATTTTTATTACACTTATAGCAAGAGAAAGACCTGCTCTCTCCATCTGCACCATAAACTCCTTTCCCCTAGAATGACAACTGTTGACTTCCACTAGTTATCTTCCAGTTTTGATTGCTTCCTAGAAGATTTCTTTCAAGGTGGATCTAGCCAGGCAGTGCTGCACGAATTGATTATTGGACGTTTTGAAGTAGGAGTTATCTGCACCCGAAATTACCCGATGCAGGTTGCGAGGATTATTCTACAACTGTACCCCCCAAACATGGGGTCCAGGTTCTTCTGGTGATAACTATTAATAGTGGTGTTTACAGCAGCCCACAAGTCCACAGAAGAAAATCAATAGGAGCCATGAGGAGGATTCGAACTCGTACACTTGGTACTTCCAAGCACATGTCTGGATGTTACCAGGCATGTGTCGTACTTGTACTTGCCATATGTCAAGGTATGTTGAGATTCAGTATTGGTATACCGTATACGTCAAAACTCGTGTGTTTGGTCCTTTCTACCTGGTTGTCCCACAAGGAAATTTTCAGTTTCTGAGCATCAAAAGATGGCTTGTTTACCTCATCTCCTGATGATGGTAGGGACTTTATGCACCTCCTGGCCAAACTCTGCTGCTGGCAGCTTTACTGGGTTTTCTGTTCTGATTTTGTCACCATTGGTTAACCCTGTGTTTGCCCAAATCTGGCTCTTCTGCTCGAAGCTTTGTTCATTGTGGATTGGGTCATAAAGGTTGCCTAACCCAGTTCACAGCCTGGATACCCACCTCTTCAGGCAAGTGCCTACAACTAGTCTCTAAAACTTCTCCATCTTCTTCATGAAATCTGGGGCATCAAGGCTTGAAATAAGCCACACAAGACAAAACCAGGACTGCCAGTCTCGCAAAGTGGCCACTGCCAGATAAGCTGCCTCTGAAGACCAAGTAAGTTGCACACTACAGCCACATCACAAGTCAGCCAATAAAATCAGACAAATTTATAACTTCATTACACCTAAACCGTGGGACATAAAAGTATTTTTATGCACATATATTCATAATCCTTGCATGATACCTATAAGACATTCTGTGTATCCAATAGGATAATATAAATTGTTAATGTGAAGTTTGAGGGTTAATTATGGGTAAAGGTACATCACTGTACCCACGGTTACAATGTTTCACGCATGACAGTGTTAGTGACATTCTCTGGGAAGAAAGTGATGAAGTTACATTTCTTATAGACATGATGATTGCTAAGAGTAGGAAAAAGCCTCCTTTAAGATATTCTGGACTAAAGACATTATCAATTAGATGATGCCTCATGTGGATGGGAAACCAAAAAGTGTCTAATGCCATTCTCACATAGATTGCTAGAGTTCATATGGCTGCCAAGGAACTGTAACATTTATTGAAGAAATGTTAGTATTGTTGGCCAGTCATAAGTCAGTAAAATCAATCTTGAATACTGTAATTTGCTACTGGTTGAACCTCGATTCCTTTTGAGAGCTTCATTAATTACTTTCTACATTGCTTTACTGTCTCCCAAGAACTGTTCTGTCTTGTGCTTGTTGTGGTCTGTTTCCTCAATTTATTGATCAAGACTGCTTCTGTATATTCTGTATTGTGCTCGAAGACTTGCGAGCATATTTGTTTCTTATAACCTTAGTTACCAAAGGGGGAGCAATGGTTTAAGTTTCATCACCATCTGAACAGGACATGACTGGTTCCCAGTTGACACTGCCAACAAGACAAAACAAGCCATCATTTTTTCCTACCATTTATAGTCTGTATATGATGGTAGCATTTTACTGGTCATGATGGGTAAAGAATAAATTTAAGCTTTACAGGCAGAATGTTTCTGAACCCCACACAGCTCACGGAAATGACAGTGAAGCCTCGGCTCTAAAAACAGTAGTTGGTTGGGAAAATTACGGGTTGGTTGGAAATTTGTATTTATTTTTTCCTGAATAAAATGGAACATGGAAATATAAAATTTTACATCCACTATTAGAAAATATGATAAAAATCGTAACATGACAAATATGTTACATGACCAACCTGTTCTGGTGAAACATGGCAGAAATTTGAAATCTTGCGTTTTACAGCCTGGTCAATGGGCTTTTCTGACCGACACACAATGAAGTCTGGTGATAGTCCCAAGCCTCGTAGTTCCCGCACACTGGCTTGGGTGGGTTTAGTCTTATGCTCGCCTGTGGATTTGGGCTGCGGTACTAGAGACACGTGGACAACACATATATTTTCTCTCTGAAAAAAATTGAAATATTATGAAGCTTTTTAGAAAGGCAAGATTATTCAAATACATTTTTAAAACTAATTTAAGAATGGATGATAACACAGAACTGGTATAGTAAAACCTTCATTCGGCAAACCACATTTTGCCGTCTCTGGTTGCACGCGCACTTTTGAGGCGAGATTTACTCGCGCAGTTCTCCGAACAAGTGTTCTGCAAAGCAGAGGATATGAGGATTTGCATACTGTACTTCTAATAATCTCACACCAGAGAAATTACAGTATCATAATACACCAATGAGAAAATCCACAGGAGCCGTGATGAGGATTCGAACCTATGCGCTGGGTGTCAGGTTATCTTGAGATGATTTCGGGGCTTTAGTGTCCCCGGTCCTCGACAAGGCCTCCACCCCCAGGAAGCAGCCCGTGACAGCTGACTAACACCCAGGTACCTATTTTACTGCTAGGTAACAGGGGCATAGGGTGAAAGAAACTCTGCCCATTGTTTCTCGCCGGCGCCTGGGATCGAACCCGGGACCACAGGATCACTAGTCCAGTGTACTGTCCGTTCGGCCGACCGGCTCCATGTGTTCCCAGATGCACACACTAGTCTACTATGCCATGACATGGTCAAAAAAGAATTGCTACCTAGGGTATGACTTGGGTACTGGGGATAATGTGATTTCTCTGTGTAGTGAAAGGGGCATCAGAGGCAGAATTATCAGAGGCAGAATTACTGGGCGACAGAGCCAGACTGCATAGGGAAGAATTGTGTGAAACCGTGGTTCGTCTTAAGTGGAAGCCTCGGGAATCCTCGAGGGTGCAGTAGTATTCCAGGTTGCAATTCTTTTGACCATGTCGTGGCACAGTCGACTGGAGCGTGCACCAGGGAACGCCTAGCGCGCGCACACTAATCTTCATCACGGCTCCTTTGGATTTTCTCAATCTCGCACCCTTCTACAAGTATAGCCTGGCAATCAAGTCCCAAGGCACTATCTGTGTTATGGAAAGGCTCTAGGAGTCCATCCAAGGGAGGAACTGTCTGCAAATGAAAGACAAATGTTTGCAGACAACCTTCACTGAACAACACGACGGAAGATAACCCCAGAACTACAGCCAAGGAGCTGAAAACAATGAGTTGAGCCAGTTGACTGGTTAATACTGTACATTCAAAGAGAGCATAATAGAACAGGAAACTTTATCATTAAACCATAAAATAGAAAACCCAGTTGCTTAGCAAAATAAAAATAGTCACAGGAGACACCAGCCAGATGGCAAAAGCACCCGGCACAAACAAAAGGCCAAGTGTCTCCTTGAATAGTGCTGCCATCAAGTAGCAGAATAAAGAAACAGTGGCATGGTTTTCTGTCTGGGATAGTTTTGAGTTTTGTTTATTATTCATTCATTCAATCATAATATCAAACAACACAGTATAGAATATAATGGATAAACAATCACTACCACACTCCTGCAGTCATTAACAGGACGATCCTATCACTTCATAAGACTAATTTTATCAAATCATGCTATAGCAGTGAAACTATTTCTGTTAAAATGCATTCTTTTAGAAGACTACATACCTTTACTCTGAACTGGAACTGCCTAAAGGCTTCTACGAAGGGCATCCCTTCAATGTCTCCAATGGTACCACCTAACTCAATAATGCATACTTGTGGGTCTGCCAAATCACCATCAACAGGTCGCTGGGCCACTGCCTCCACCCATTCCTGGATTGCATCAGTGATGTGGGGCACAACCTGAAAATGCACTTAGTTTTAAACAAATTTAAACAAATACTATACAAGGAAAACTAAGGCTACAGATGAATTAGATAAATTTAAGTTCACAAAAATATATAACAACAAAGGGTCCTACCAAGTCCTTTCTTTTGCTTCTTATATAGGCATAAATGGTTGATACCTGCTTTATGGAGTTCTGAGAGTTCTTCTACTCCCCAAGCCCAGCCTGAGGCCAAGCTTGACTTGTGAGAGTTTGGTCCACTAGGCTGTTGCTTGGAGCGGCCTGCAGGCCCACATACTCACCACAGCCCAGTTGGTTCGGCACTCCATGGAGGAAACAATCTAGTTTCCTTTTGATTTCCACGGTTGTTCCGGCAATATTCCTTATGCTCTCTGGGAGGGTGTTGAACAACCGTGGACCTCTGATGTTTATACAGTGTTCTCCGATTGTGCCTATGGCACCCCTGCTCTTCACTTGTTCTATTCTGCATTTTCTGCATTTGAATAAAACTACTTTGGATCTCTCTATGTTTGGAGAAAATTCACCAATGGAGATGTCGTCAATGTCTCGGACTGGGTTACGTGTGAACAAAGTGCCCTGGGCCGGGCTTGAGGAGTAGAAGAACTTCCAGAACCCCATCCAGGTACAACCCAATTCAATGTTATGAAAGTTAACAATGTTATTGTTTCTTTAGTAAACTACTGCTATCCAGCTACCCCTCACCCAACTGTGTGGCCCCACAAAACAAATGGCCCATACCAGCTCAACCCAGACCAAACTTGGAGCGGCCCGCAGCCCCACATATCCACTAAAGCCTGGTTGGTCCAACACTTTTTGCAAGAATCTGTCCAAGTGCCTCTTGAATCTAGTAGAAATTTATCAACTCTTTATTGATAACCACCTTCATTCTTGCAATATTTCTAATGCTTGCTTTGAGGGTGTTGAACAGCCGTGGACCCCTGATGTTCAGTATTCTCTGGTTGTGCCTATGGCACTTCAACTCACTACGGTAGTTCTATTTTGCATTTTCTCCATATCTTTTGCTCCAGTATGTTATTCTACTGTGCAAATTTGGTACCTGGCCTGCCAGTATCTTCCATGTACTGTATATATTATTTGATACCTTTCTCATCTTTCCAGAGAGTACATTTTGAGAGCTTTGAGAGGGTCCCAATAATTTAGATGTTTTATCGTTTCTATGCATGCCATATATGTTCTCTGTATTCCCTCTATTTCAGAGATCTCTCCTGCTCTGAAAGGGGAAGCGAGTACTGAGCAATACTCAAGACAGGACAGCACCAGTGATTGAAATAGTTTTAGCATTGCTGTGGGGTCTCTAGATTTGAAGGTTCTCATAATCCATCCTATCATTTTCCTGTATGCTGCTATATTTACTCAGTTGTGTTCACTACATGTCAGGTTATCAGGCATCATAATTCCCCAGTCCTTTACATGTTGCTTTCCTTCTATAAGTAGGTTTGATTATGTCCTGTACCCTGTGTTTCCTTTAAACACAGGGTTTAAACAATTACATGTTTTCCTCGTTTCCACCATACCTCAGTACCTGGAACTTATCACCATTAAACATCATGCAATGAGCAAGAGTTATAACTTGCCAAAAACCTATGATATGTAAATTACAACTACAGTATTCTACTGGTGGAGGCCCCTGGGTTACAGGGGCCTCCCTAAAGCCCATGACTTCATCTGGCCCTGTCATGGTGTGAGGGCCTCGGTACTAACACGGCAAACGTGCAATAGCAGCTCACAGCAGCACCATGCAGCTTGTGCCCAAAGCATCACTTAATGATGAAATAAATAAGGAAAATGCAATAATTTAAAGTGACATAGAAGATCCTGATACAGTCTATGTACAATTTCAGATGTAAGTGAACCTGATGCAGGTGACAATTTTCCCAGTGCTAGGCACAAAGCCACAGTTTGGTGCATCATGCAATAGGACCTCGTGTTCCTTTGGAAAATGAAAACATGTTTACAATTATTCATATTCAGGATTTAGTGAACCAGGACTCTGATAAGTGTTTTGGCTAGTGTTAGTGGTGTGCATAGTACATCGGGCAGCACTTTGCTTCGTCAGGTGCCGAGTGTGTGGAGCAATGTTGTGCTTGCATCATTTGTTATGAGATTATCACACCAAACGGAACTGCTTAGTGATTCATAATGGTGTATAAACATGTATAGTTTGATATAACATGTATCAAAAATATATATATTTTAGTGATCAAAGAATATATTGTGTACATTAGTGACTAATATATTTGTGTGTACTGTATTGATGTTCTGCAGTTATATTAAAGAAATTTCTGAAATGACAAGGTAGTGCACAACAAATGTAAAATACCAGTGAAAAAAGAAATCTGACACTGAAATAAATCAGTTTAAATACTGTATATTCACCAACTCCCACCGAACAACTGCCCCTGGATAACCTCCACTGGGAGTTTGTTGCACAAACACTTATGAATCGGAGACATCATCACAATTCATCCCTCCACCACGGCCAAAGCTACAAAACAAAAAACAAAACAAAAATCCCCATGATCAAGAAGTACATTTTAACTATTAATAGTTAGAACTGATTTTGCTCTTGAGCACCAGGGATTTGTTATAAATTGAGTGTACACTCCAGGGATTAATCAACTCCCATTTACAGGGAAGTATTGTTCTGCAATTCCCTGAAGGACAATACTCTAAGGAATGTTACACCACTTATCTAGAAAGCAGCTGAAGTCCCTACAAACTAAAATAACCTATTCAAGTGAAAAATGGCAGAAAGAATAGAACTGCCATAAGCACAATCAGAAATACCAAAAAGGTGTTCTAATCAGAGGCCAATGACTAACCAATTATGAGGAATATCTGAAGGACCAAAGGTTTAAATCTCAAGCTGGAATAAGTTGTTCGTGCAGCAAGTGTCAGATCAGCCAGACTTTGATGACTATGTGGGCCTTCAAGCCACCACCAGTAACAGCCATCCCAGTTAACTGTCCCCGAGTCATGCTAGAGTAAAATATGAGCTCCCAAAACCAGCCACTCATAATCATAGTTACGATTGCTTCTATCATCTTTACAGCCATGGTCACCTTTTGCCCATCCGCTACATTTTCCAGAAACCTTTGCTCATAACAAATAAGTAAATCCATGGTGCTATTTAGGGAATGAAAACGTTAATCCATTATTCACTTGAATGCTGTAGATACCAGAAGCTTGTAGCATTTTATGCTTGTGCCTGAATTCATCAAAATGCCCAACATTCTCCAGTCCATGACACTGTAAATCTCTTCACTGTCTCAATTGTAATTTTTATGCACCTTTGAAATGATGCTCAATAGACTAATTCTCCTATAATTTCTATTTGTCTTTATAACCCATACCCTTGTGACAGGACACCATTTTTGCCCAGTCATCTGGCTCCTTCCTTATTCTCCAAGCCTGCAAATATCCCACTTGTCACCTGTAATAATACACATGGTTCAATCACACTAACACTATCTTGAAAACTATTCCAGGTTGACATAACTTAACCTTAAGATTGTCTACCGTGGAAACACAAACCGAAACTGTCTATTTTCCGCTTGTTACAACTTGTAATAAAGTTGTTACATCTTGGCTTAGCCAGTTTATGACGTATTATAACGTTGTTACAACTTGCTATATTGGTTGTTATAACGGGTTAGGTGGTGTTAAAACTTGTTCAAACGTTGTACCAACGTCGTAGTCTCTGTGTTTGGCGGATAGTAGATGAAAAAAAAAAAGAAAGAGGTTCGAGTCCAGTAATCCAATCAACCTATAGAGCCACTGTTATTGTTAACAAATTCAGCTACACACCTGCACAGTCTTCCCTAGATAATCTCCACGTCGCTCCTTGTTGATAACAGATTGATAAATCTTGCCAGTAGTAATGTTGTTATCCCGGTGTAATGTGACATCTAGAAATCTTTCGTAATTGCCAAGATCAAGGTCCACTTCTCCTCCATCATCAAGTACAAAAACTTCACCTAAAATAAATAACAAAATATAAAATAGGCAAATTAAGTTGAACATGAATATAAAGCATGTACACAATCATACAACTACTGTAGTTATAAAATCTCTTAGGCACAAACTTCACACCAACATACTGTACTTCAAATGAACAAATCCACAAGGGCCGTGACGAGGATTCGAACCTGCGTCCGGGAGCATCCCAGACACTGCCTTAATCGACTGAGCTACGACAGGGTAAAAGGGTTGAAACCGAAGTTCTACTGAACTTACTGGATCCCGTAGCCTCTCCGAGGCACAAACCAGGCTTTTACACAACCCCCCCCCCTGCACCTGAGCTATGTCAATAGGTCGTTCTCCCTCTTCGCCCTTACATCATCACACACAGAGATCACACTAACGTGATGCATCAAATGAACAAATCCACAAGGGCCGTGACGAGGATTCGAACCTGCGTCCTGATCTCTGTGTGATGATGTAAGGGCGAAGAGGGAGAACGGCCTATTGACATAGCTCGGGTGCAGGGGGGGGGGGGTTGTGTAAAACCCTGGTTTGTGCCTCGGAGAGGCTACAGGATCCAGTAAGTTCAGTAGAACTTCGGTTTCAACCCTTTTACCCTGTCGTAGCTCAGTCGATTAAGGCAGTGTCTGGGATGCTCCCGGACGCAGGTTCGAATCCTCGTCACGGCCCTTGTGGATTTGTTCATTTGATGCATCACGTTAGTGTGATCTCTGTGTGTGACTGTACTTCAAAGTATTTCAGTGAATATTTAACAAAAAAGTGAAACACTCACACTGAACTGTACTTGAAAGTATCTTTACTACAGAAGTGTCTTAGCAGTTTAAAAAACAATTCCTGTAGGTGCAAAGTACTCCACAGCCACAATGGTGTAGTAATAATGTGCCTCCATTCACACAATTCAACGTCACCTCAATAGCGTAGAAGACGTGCGGACTGTGCTCGTCACTCACCAAAGCTGCCATCATCCCGACCTTCCTCTACTCCAAAGTCTCCTTTAACATTTCATCATCAGACTTTTGCACTCCACATCTGTATATAATTTCTTATTCTATCTTCCCAGGGCCTCACATGGGCCTCAGACTGTCCCTATCTACTGCTCTAAATTTTTTCACTCGTGCCACAACTTTTATTTACATACAAGGTAAAGTTGCTAGTTTCTGGACATCAGCACCTACAAAAATATCAGAGCACCTGCACCAGTGCATACAAAAATATAAACTATACTCATTGAATATCGTAAAAATAATTAAAACGTCATTGATAATAGCTCTGTGGATACTGCATACATATTTATTTACACACACACACACACACACACGACTTATTTCAGAGTCATTTTATAGAATACTACTACAATTCATATCAAATTTTGTAATTATGTATATACAGTATAGCAATTTTTGTAATCCACCATGAGCATGGACTGATAAAAAAAAAATTGATCCTTAGTGTGCAGCTGCCATCATAATTGCCACATTCACTCTAAGCAAAAATATAAAATGGTTTATCTACATTTTAAAGTATGAAAATACAAAAAAAATCACACACAATATCTACCTTACTTTGGCTTGGGCAGTGGTCAGCATTATGCTGGAAGCCAGCATCAAATTTTATTTTTCATATACTGTACTGTATTGTACATTGTATTCAATAGTAAGGAATGCCTGAATAAGACATTCAGTTTTTTTACTTTGATACCAGCATGCGTACAATCCCGAGTGCTTTTATCAACATCAACCTTAAATGATTAAATTCACATACTTTCACAGACTTTTTTTTCCAGCCAATTCTTAAAATATAATGCTGAACTGAATGTTTCAAAGCTTGTACAAGGCAAATGTCAAAGATTAATCACAAGGAGTATTGTGTTATAGCTGTCAAACACAAGTACTGTAGTGCTACCATTTCTGTAACAATACTTACCATGCTCATATGGAGAGAAGGTACCAGCATCAATGTTAATATATGGGTCAATTTTAATAGACGTCACCCTCAGGCCACAGTGCTTTAGGATAGTGCCAATGCTGGAAGCAATTACACCCTTTCCAATGCCAGATATCACTCCTCCAGTCACCAGAATGTACTTCATATTGAATATTTATTTACTGAAAAAAAAGTAAAATGGTTTGATATAATTAAAAATATAAAAAAGTAAGCTACCTAACTTCATTTATTCATAAAACAAATTCAATGGAATTCAATGGAAGGGAAAGTAAATGGAATTCTATTTCAGAATTTCAGCATTACTGAGTAGTAAATTCACCTGCTTTACATTCATATCCTAAACACCAGAAAACATAGGAAAAAATATACATGAATTTAAATATTCAAAGGAAAATTACCCACCATACTACAGCTACATGCTATTAGGTCTGTAAGAATAATGTGGGATGAACCGAGATCGCGGTCTACCAAGCACAAATTACCAATGTTGTGAGAAGATGTACTCTACATACCTGCTTGATGGGGTTCTGCGAGTTGTTCTACTCCCCAAGCCTGGCCCGAGGCCAGGCTTGACAAGCATTTGATCCAAAGAATTAGCTGGATACTGATTTTTGTTCATCCTTTAACCCAATTCCAAATCTTGCATTACACTTCAACAGTTACTGTATTACACTACTAGTAATTATTTTAGATCATTATGAACTTCAATTCTACCCTGTAGTGGAAGGGGGAAGGACCTCGATAAAAACCTAATGTGTATAAATACACACTGGCTTCCTGTCCCCCGGCACAATAAATTATTATTATTATTGAGCAATTGGATAATGTATAATTTAATTATAAAAACACCCTTCAAAATTTGTCTTGTAAGTGCCATCAGGAAGTTAAGAACTTGTTTAGATATGTCTACAATACACTATTGTCAGAATGCATATAAAGGTATATTGTATAACTTTCAATACAATTAATGAAGAATAATTATTATATATTAGTTTCTATGGCCCACATTTCCCCCCCCCAAAAAAATATATGCAGTAAATTTATTAAATGTTTCAGATTTATGATCATCAATCCTCATCTGATCGCATAACTCTTGCAGTGTGCAAGTTAGATTTTATGCACCAAGAGCCAACTCGAGAAAGCCGTTCTTAATTAAACAAGGATAAGTAAAGAACCAGAGCCAAGAGGCTGTGGCTTGGAGACTTCCCTAGCCAGCAGAGCATGACATGCCAGACAGGTTCTCGTCCCCCCAGGACACGAGGAGGAGGAGGCAGGTAGCTGACCTTCATTTCATAAGCATCCAGTTATAGGAAAATGTTAAATGACATTTGTTGAATACTCACAATTATAGAATATTTTGTAAAAAAAAAAAAATGCCAGCTAATACCCACAAGAATGCATAATAAATATGAACTACCCTGTACAGTAAATAAATAATAATTTACACATTTATAATGATAATATGGCAACTCGGGTTCCTAACCCATACCCTCCGGTCCATACCAACAAGAGGTGGTGGGAATGTTGTCAGCTTGCTTCATGGTTTTCACTGGTCAGACTCAAGGCTAATTGCTACATTACTGTGCTCTATGCAAGCTAATTCATTAATTAATTAGTTCATTAGTTAATTCATTGATCTTTTAATGAATCAAATACATTTACAGAACAGTATATCCATATTCAAAATGTTTTATTTAAAAAATGTATTAATTGTTTATGATAAAGATAATTCTAATAAAATCCCTAATGTAATAAGTGTGAATATTGAATAATTAAATTATCTACTGGGAGATATGTTTTGATCCTAGCCAATTAAGAGGATATCACCAGACCATCACGTCTAAGGATATAACATTTTTTGGGTAATGAGCACAAGATAGGCCATGATTATGGGGAATATCAGGTGTGGTGGGGTTGTGGTGGGGTTGTGGTGGTGCTGAAGGGGGGGGGGGGTTGAAATGGTGGTGTTAGGGTCGATATGGTGGCATTGGGGGTTGGGTCAGGGCATAGGGGGTGAGGTGGGGGCATTGGAGATGGTTGTGGGGCATTGGGGGAGTGGTGGGGGCATTTTGGTGATGGTCACAGTGTTGGGGGAATGGTTATGATTTGTAGTCATGGCCTTCATATTGCAGTCATGGAATTGAAGATTTAGACAATGTAATTTAGCTCCATCCAAATTTTCACACCTCAACAAGATGCATCCCAAGTGGTTAAAGGAATGGTACCAACCCTCAAGTGAAAACTTAGAGAATAACAAGTGACGAGTAGCAGAAAAAATTTAATTTTGCCCAATTATGGTGTGAAGCATATGTGAAGCTCAGTCCCAGAGGGACAAGAATACAACCCACAATTTTGTGAAATTCTTGTTGACAATACCAAAATAACTATGAAAATTGTCTCGGTGGAAGATAGGAAAATCACAATCATATCAACAAGGTTTCCAATGGACAATGAAAAACAATACTGTTTAACATTCAACAGTGACAAATTGCAATTACCATACATCAATATGGAAAAAACAAGACTTTGGAGAACACGAGGATTGCACCTGTACCTGGATCGTACCTGGTTGAGCTTCTGAGAGTTCTACACTGCAAGCCCAGCCCAGGGCCAGGCTAGACTTCAGAGAGCTTCTTCTTGCAGAAAACTATCCAGCTTTTTCTTGAAGACTTCCAATTTTGTTCCAGAAATATTTCTTATACTTGCTGGGAGGACAACCTCTGATGAGGATACTGAATGGACCTGATAAGTGGGATTGAAAGTCAACTGTTGAGGGTTGCATTCCGAATACAGTAATTTGCCTATAGGAACTTCAATAAGCCTGAGACTTTCTGTCCCAAACAAAGGGAAACTATAACACATCAAGGATTATGATGCCCTGTGTCTGACCTTCCGCTTCCTACAGGCCACACACAGACATACGTAACTGGTGCAGCTCGTGCCTACAGTTCACCAGGTTGGTTCGCTAAGACACTCCAGCTATGCCTGGATTGGCACTGCCCTAGTGCTGTAGCTGTGCTAAGCCCATTAGCATAATATACTAATCTAAAAAAAAAAATTATCAACTTATTGGCCCTAACTTAATATCTGCAAGCTCATCGAGAGAATCTTATGGGAGGGAAGCCTTTACTTTCTCAAAGTGCACAATATTGTAAAATAAACAAATGGTTTTATTGAAAATAAATCCTGTACAACTGACCTCTTTACAGTTCTTGAAAATAGTAACCAGCTATTCAGACAAAGGACTTCCAGTAGAGAGTGTACATGAACTTGCATAAAACTTTGATAAATGTTGTAAGTGGAGAACTGCAAGGTTTCATCTTGGGGGCCAACCCTTATGTTATATACATCAATAACAGATGAGAACACAGTATTACAAACCACATCAGTAAATCCACAGACAACACAAGATCAATGGTAAAGTGAGAAATGGTAAAGTGAGAAATGAAAAAGCTACCAATGCTTTGCAAAACAATCTAAATGAACTCCTTAAATGAACAGAAAACTGGAAGATACTTATCAATATTAACAAATGCAAGACCTTGAATGTAAGGCATAAAGCACATCATAACTATCATCTCAATAACACAACCATGCAGCCGCCTGGTGAAAAAAAGGACCCAAGAGTTATGATCCACAAATCATTTAAGTCGCTAAACAAGTAGGAGTTAGTTACAATAACCTATCCTGAGGAATAATTAAAAGAATTTTTGACTTTAAGCAAAGGTGGGTTATTCAGCTGTACTAGTCTTTTGTGCATGCCATCTGGACTACTGTCTTCAAGCATGGAAACTTCACCTTCAGAAAGACACATCTTCTTTGGGGAAAGTTCAACACAGCAACAAAAAATCATCCCAGAACTAAGTCAACTTTTATATCAGGAACGGTTTAGTCTCAGAATTAACAACCCAAACATAACAAGGGTGATCTGGTGATCTTATCAAGGTCTTTAAAATACTTAAATTTTAAGACATTAATCCAAACAACTCTTTTTATAGGTCAAACATAATGCACACAAAGGGCAACAGCTTCAACTCAACAAGCCACAATGTAGGACAGAAAACAGCAGATGTATTTTTGCCCAAATTGTAATAAACCCATGGAATCACCTGCCCATCAAAACCTTAAATACCAAGACAATACAGTACACCGGCTTGATACCTACTCCAGTTTAAAATTCAAGCCCAAAAATCTTTAGGAATAAGCTTACAATTACAGCCGAGAGATTGACACTGGCAAAGCATACCTATATAGCATAAAATTAAATTGATGTGAAGACAGACTGATTTATAACCAATATAAACTAATTACTGTATACCTTAAAGTTTTAGAAATTTGCATACAATTAATATCAACAAAATTTAGCGCCTGGATCAAAATCACTTTGCTCGTGTTACATGGATCCGATTTTAGTACAATTCAAAATGCATGTCAATAAGTCATCTCTGTGACAATAGTTTCCATATTCAAAGTACAGTATCAAGCTCAAGGGTCTCCCTAGTGGCCTCGATAGGGGTAGAAAGCCTTGGTATTGCCTATGAGATAGCCAGCTCTACTGGTTCTTAGCTCTTTCAACAATGTATCAAGATTGAAATTATGCCAGATAAAAGTTGGGTTATTTAAAAGTTATGTTGGTCAAGTAATAAATTAGAAAAGGGGCAACTTGATCTGGAACAATCTTAAGATAATGTAACCTTCACACAACCAAACAACATATAGTCTAAGCCGTTCAGAAAGCCCAAAAGGTAAGGTAATTACCAGTATGAGGATGTAGCACTTGGAAGGGATAAGAGGACAAGGAACTGGGATATGTGGACTGGGTAAAGGCAAGGTGCCCAACCACTTGGACCATCAAGAATAGAACCTTGACCCTGCAAGAAGCATGCCCATTACTCGATTAACAAGTCCAAGTGGTTGGGTAGAAAGATCAGAAAAATATGAAAAGCTGTTATGAAAAGATTTAAGAAAATTGTAAAGCTTAGGTCAGCAGATTCTAAAGTGACAGAAAATTGTAAATCTTAGGTTAGGACAGCTCCACTCAGCTGTCAGCGCCTGACAGCTGGGTGGACAGCGCTTCGGATTTGTAGTCCTGAGGTTCCGGGCTCGATCCCCGGTGAAGGCGGAGACAAATGGGCAAAATGTTTCTTTCACCCTGATGCCCCTGTTACCTAGCAGTAAATAGTTACCTGGGAGTTAGACAGCTGCTACGGGCTGCTTCCTGGGGGGGGGGGGGGCAAAAAATGAAGCCTGATCGAGGATTGGGTCGCAGGGACACTAGAGCCCTGAAATTATCTTGAGATAACCTCAAGATGGGTAATGGTAATGTCTACTCACAAGACATGACATGACAGGATAGAAATACACTAGTGTGGGTTTTTAAGATTTATGTAAAGAAATTACACCATGTCTTTTCGCACTCTCCCAAGTTCTTTGTCAAGGTCTGAGAATGTGGTTGGGATGCAACGCTGAGGTGCAAGTCTCGTTCTAACCACATAGACCTTGACAAAGCACTCAGGAGAGTGCTGAAAGACGGTGTAATTTCTCTACATAAATCTCAAATACACAAGCGTGACTTTTTATCCTACGTTTAAAAGCTGGATTCGATGCTGGGATGAGCTGAGAGTTACTGAAGAGAAGAGCTGCCCCAGTACCAGAAATACAATTAAACTACTACATGTAGGCGATGAGTCACAATAACGTGTCTGAAATATGTTGACCAGACAACGCACTAGAAGGTGAAGAGATGATGTTTTGGTCTGTCCTGAACCATTCTCAAGTCTCAAGTCATCACAATCGACTTGAGAATGGTCCAGGACAGACCGAAACGTCGTCGTCCCTTCACCTTCCAGTGTGTGGTCTGGTCAACTACTACATGTATATGGGTTGATGCTGCAGGTTGTTACTGAATATGAATATAAATATGAATGCATTGCATTCATTTAGCAATGAAACTGCTATATGGGTTGAGGCTACATTCAGTAACAGGGTTGTTTTGTGGAACCAATTACAATACTACGTAACACAATAGACATAGGATCCCTTGATTGTTTCAAGTGTGGGTTAAACATACGGTATATATGAAAGCGTTTAGGTGGATATAAATAGGTGTCATGTATGGGCCAATAGGCCTTCTGCAGCTTCCTTGATTCATATGTTGACAGTGAAAGGGTCTCAGTTGTGGGGCCACATTATGGCCAGAGTCAGTAGTTTGACTCTGGTGGGAGGACCTTAATAAAAGCCTTGCATACACACACATCGAGGGGCCTGGTGGCTGAGCAGACAGCACTCAGGATTCATAATCCTAGGGTCCTAGGATCGATGCCGGCGATGGCAGACACAAATGGGCAGTTTATTTCACCCTGATGTCCCTGTTCACCAAGTAGTAAATAGGTACCTGGGAGGTAAGACAGCTTCTATGGGCTGCTTCCTGGGTGTGTAAGAAAAAAAAATACAAAAAAAAAATAAAATTGATTTGACAGTTGAGAGGCGGGCCGAAAGAGCCAGAGCTTAACCCCCACAATCACAACTAAGTAATTACACATATAGACTAACTAAACCTAACCTACCAACTATATTTTTCTATTTATCAAATTTAGCTATTTTCTGATTACGAAATCCAAACTTTATCCTAGCTCATGGTGTCCCGTCTTCCCAGTACTCTTTGTCATATTACGCTTTGAAATTACTGATTATGTGTGTTTTAGTAATCATAAATAAGAAATTAGTGTGTATGAAGTCTATCAACGAGGTGTCGCTGTATAACTGCAAATTAAAAGGGAAAAGCAAAAAACAAGAATCTGCCAATTATGTATACGACTTTCTCTCCGAAGACCCTGAAATAAAAGCGGCCCCCACTCTCTTAAATACATATGTATATACCTGGCAGCCTACCCACGTATGCAGTGGATGACCTGGGGTCATCCAGCCCACGTATATTGCCCTCTATCCCTCCCTCTCCCACAAAACTTAACACCCATCCCATACGCAAGGGAGAAAACCCCCTTCGCCAACCATAAACAATCCCACCGGTAAATAAACCCTCCATATTCCCAGCCGTTTAAAGACGGCATAGACAAACACGTCCACATACACCTACCTGCTGGACCAGACGCTGGTGGTGACGGGAAGAGAGAGACAAGGCAGGGAAAGAGAGAGAGGGTGAGAGAGACCCTGGGCAGGAGAGCGTAGGAGCCTGCAGGAGATGCTGGAGACTGAGCCCAAGTCGCGGCCTGGCGCCACCTGCACATGCGCGCCCCGCCCGCTAAACCAACGCCACTCCTCCCGAAACCACTCCAGTAATAATAAAAACAATAATAATAATGTTTATTCAGGTCGAAGTACATACATACACAATGAGTTACAAAAAGAATGTTGGATTGGTAGTTAGAGTTAGTATATATTATGCCTAAAGCCACTAATACGCAGGAGTGAGGTCTCGGAGTGGTGAGGCGTCACCGGTGGTGTCCCGCGGGATTCAGTCTTTGGACCCATACTGTTTCTGATTTATGTAAATGATCTCCCTGAGGGAATAGACTCGTTCCTCTCTATGTTTTCTGATGATGCAAAAATTATGAGGAGGATTAAGACAGAGGAAGATAGTATGAGGCTACAAGATGACCTGGCCAAACTGAAGGAATGGTCCAATTAACAAATGGCTACTAAGGTTATACCCAAGTAAATTAATTCATTAATTTAAATGTAAGGTAATGAAACTAGGCGTAGGGAATAAGAGGTCAGACACTGGATACCGAATGGAAGATGTAGTCCTTCACGAAACGGACAGAGAGAAAGATCTGGGAGTTTATATTTATTTATTTATTTATTTATTTTGATATATACAAGAAGGTACATTGTGTTTATGAGAGTACATAGCATTGATGTTTTGATATTCTTGTAAAGCCACTAACACGCATTGCGTTTGGCAAGCCAAACCTGTCTCTCGAAGCCCACATCAAAAGAATAACATCAGCGGCATATGCAAGGCTGGCTAACATGAGAACTGCCTTCAGAAACCTGTGTAAGGAATCCTTCAGAAACCTGTGTAAGGAATCCTTCAGAAACCTGTGTAAGGAATCCTTCAGAAACCTGTGTAAGGAATCCTTCAGAAACCTGTGTAAGGAATCCTTCAGAAACCTGTGTAAGGAATCCTTCAGAATCTTGTATACCACATGTGTAAGACCAATCCTGGAATATGCAGTCCCAGCATGGAGCCCGTACCTTGTCAAGCACAAGATAAGCTGGAAAAATTTCAGAGATATGCCAAAGGCTAATCCCAGAACTAAGAGGCATGAGTTACGAGGAAAGGCTGCATAAACTGCACCTCACGTCGCTGAAAGACAGAAGAACTCGGGGAGACATGATCACCACATACAAAATTCTCAGGGGAATTTACAGGATAGACAAGGATCGGTTATTTAACACTGATGGTACACACACAAGGGGACACAGATGGAAGCTGAGTACCCAAAAGAGCCACAGAGACATTAGAAAGCACTTTTTCATTGTCAGAGCAGTTAGTAAATGGAATACACTAGTAAGTGATGTGGTGGAGGCTGATTCCATACACAGTTTCAAATGTAGATTTGATAGAGCTCGAGAAGCTCAGAAATCTTCACACCAGTAGATTGACGGTTGAGAGGCGGGACCAAAGAGCCGAAGCTCAACCCCCGCAACAACTAGATGAGTGCTTGCGGGGGACCATCACGCACCCGGGCCTCCCGGCTGAGCGGTCATCACTTGGGGGTCGTAGTCCTAATGGCCCGCATTCGATTCCTGGCGGAAACGGAAACAAAGGAGCAGTTTCTTTCACCCCTGAGGCACCTGTTCACTTACCAGTAAATAGGTACATGGGAGTTAGACAGCTGCTTCCTGGGAATGTGTGGGCGTGTGTTAGAGAGAAATATATGTAGTAGATATAATTGAGGAAAAATAGATTGTAAGATAGGCGTGGTCCAAGAGCTAATTGTTCGATTCTGCAGGCACAAATAGTAAATAGAGATTTTCGGGCAAAACCACCACTCCACTCCAAATAATATAACGAACCCTTTCCTCTTTGCCCATGGGAGAGGGTAGGTATATATATGCATGGTTAAAGGAGGGGAATTGATCTTGGGCGGCTTAATCTTCATCAATCAATCAGGGGAGGGAATAATCAGGGGAAAGTGCGATTGATTGACGAAGATTAAGCCACCCAAAAGGTGGCAAGGGCATGAATTGCTCGTAAGTGGTGGCCCTTTTGAGCCATTACCAGTATCAATAGATGATACTGGAAATCTGTGGAGGTGCGACTGCACCCTGCGTGACGGGAGATGTCTCCCGTGGAGGGGAAAGTGCTAAGCCATTAGGACTATATAGCACTTGGAAGGGGATTAGGGTAAGATAGGTATCAAACAACCTTATCATTGTGTTCATTGCTGTCTTCTTTTATGTGCTAGCCATATGCTGTATTGTGACTACCAATTTTTGTCAACTACCATTCAAGCTGTCATTGCAATCAATCTTAGCTACCTATGTGCTTTAATATACTGTACCTACAATTTTCTCTCATCTTCTTTTTTTTCATTCCATGTAACTGTTATCATTTTTTGTCAATAAATTTTGCAAGTATTTACCTCCTTAAAATTTTCTTAGATTAAGGACCTGCCCGATACGCTGCGCGTACTAGTGGCTTTACAAGACTGTAATTACCATATTATGTATCCTCACATTCCCAATGTACATTCTTGTATATGCATAAATAAATAGGTCTGGCCCTAGCTTCGGTGCGGGGCAGACGTGTTGAATCGGCGCTCCAGCAGTTTGGTGTTGTTTGCCCGTTTCGGCCGGTTGGGGGCGGGTGTGTGTCTGCTCGCCTGTGCTGACGTGGCGTTACGATGGGGGTCCCTCTACCCCCAGTCGTCCGGGCTCAGTCTGTGGGACTAGAGTTCTCTGTGCGGGCTGGTTACCCGGAGATTGCCCTGGCTTGTGAACTGCTCTCTGTCCCTGTGTTTGCGATTTATGGGGTCGAGTTGGTAACGGCCCGTAGGGCCATTGTGAAGTTTGCAGAGGAGGCGGCGTATCGCGATTTTCTCCGGCGATACGAGGGGCGGACACTGCTCCTGCCGGATGGTGCGGGCACTGTCACCCTCTCGGATAGAAGTGGTGCACTTACTTACATCAGTGTGCATGGGGCTCCCTTGGAGTTTCCAGAGGCTCTGCTACGGCGGTATTTTGGCCGGTTTGGCGCAGTTGTTAGTGTGAGAGTGAACGTGGTGTCTTCTAGTCCTCTTAAGGGTGTGAGGTCTAACATTCGCACCCTGGGCATGAGACTCCGGGCGGATATTCCGTCCTCTGTGCGCCTTATGGGGTACAACGTTCGGGTGTTTTACGCCCGTCAGCCGCGGACGTGTTATCGTTGTGGTCTTTTGGGCCATCAGGCAGCTGACTGTTCTGCGCCTCCTGTTGCACCAGTGAACCTCTTCAGTGAGGAGGATTTTCCGCCCCTTCCTGTGGGGGATGATTCGGTGGGTATGGACGTCTCTTCGGCTGAGGAGGTGCCCTCTGTAGCAGCTGTTGCTCCGCCTGTTGCGCCCCCTGTTGTTGCCGCATCTCTTCCAGAGGTTGGGTCCTCACCTAGTGCTCCGGCTGGTGTCCCTGAGCCTCTTCCGCCTGCTGTTTGCTCAGACCCCTCGTCTTCCAGTTCTTCCTCTGCTGTGTCTGTCCCGGTCCCTGCACCCTCGCCGTCTGTCCCGGCTGTGCTGGGAGATGAGGTGGATCCGGAATTCCCTCCTGTGCCTGGCCTGGTGCCCCGTGTGGTTGAGGCTGCCGTGCTGCGGCGTGCGTCGGTTCGCTCGGTTGGTGCTGCGCGGGTCGCTGAGTCTGCCTCCGGGTCTGATGATGTGCGGCCCGAGCCTAAGCGTTCCCGGCGTTCTTCTGTGTGGGCTGATGTTGGCGAATTCGACGAGTGTCGTCCTTCCGTTGACGGTGGCGTGGCTCCGGATGTGGTGCACACTACGGTGGTGGCGGAGGTACACTTGCCTGAGGATGCCGGTGCCGGCGTTTCGGCCTCCACTTCTGGTCCGGTGTCCGAGGGTCCTGCTTCAGGTGCGTTGCCTGTGTCGGATGGCTCCGGTTCTTCGTGGGGGGTGGTTCCCCCTGCTGTAGTTGGTGGTGAGCGGGGTGGCCTGGTGGTGATGTTGAGAAAGGATGCTCGCTCTGGATGTTCTGTGGCCCCTTCCTCGTTACCCGTTTCCTCGGCAGCGGTCTTGCCGCCTCTTCCGTTTCCTGCAGTCCCTTCCGTGTCTCCTGCGGTATCCGTGGAAGTGCTATCGTCTCAGCGTCCGCCACCTGCTCCGATGGCGAAGGCGTGGCAGGCTCGGCGTCCCTCGTCCGCTTCTCTGGTGTCGTCTGCTTCCTCGAAGGGCGTGGTTGGCGCTCCCCAGCCTCGTTATGCGACTTGCGTCAGTGACCTTAGGCATTGGCCGATGCCGCCAGATATAGATGTTCCTGAGTTTGATACCCGCTCGGGCGCGGGGGATCAAAAACCCTACCGACCTTGAAGATCTAGTCTGGGAAGCTTAAAAGTCGAAATATCCTCGTGAGCTGTTCCCGGAGAAGTACATTTCTCACGATGTTCCTCGCAAGTGATTTCTATGTATTTTGTGTTGCCTGGTTGTGGGGTGTGTGAGTGGGTGGGGTGGGTATTGTTTCCCGGTTCCTGCGTGCTCCGGTTTTGTGTTTTTTTTTTGTATGGCTCGTGGGGGGGGGGGGGGGGTGTGCGGATCCTATGCGTTTGTGTGTTCGGTTATGGATGTCGTGTGCGCTTGTTTGTCATATTGTGTGCCCTTCTGGCTGTTGGCGTGTGCTCTTTGTTATGCTTTGCCTTCCGTTTGTTATGGCGGATCTGTTTTCTTTATTGTTATTGTCCTTATTCTTGTATGTTTCTCGCCTCTCTGTATGTATTTGAGGTGTTAGCAGGCTTGTTTTGTGTGCATTTTGTCCTGGGGTTTTCCCTTATGTTTGTATTACACTGTTACTAATTGTGTATTGTTTGTATATGCTTTTTTGTTTTGTGGTCAGCCCTTCTGGCTGGTCTTCTATTGATTTGTTCCTTTGTCCTTGTACATATGTGTGCTTTGTACTTTTGTTCTATGTTATATTTGTTCTGTTTTTCTTGTACATTATACGCATGCTTGCATGTAAAAATAAAAAAAAAAAAAAAAAAAAAAACTACCATTCAAGCTGTCATTGCAATCAATCTTAGCTACCTATGTG